ACGCCAGCGACTGCGGAAGCTACGCAGTCAGTCTGTCCTGCCTCCGACTAGAACTACCGAAGGAACCAACTATCTAAACTCGTATGGGGAAGGCAGAAACCTGCAGCCGGACGGCAGGCGAATGCCCCCCTACGTCTACCAGAGGGCTCACACGCAGGACTATACTCTCCAGTCGAACGACCTTTTAGGCGGTGGCGAACATCCACCCATACGACGACAAAGGTCAGCGGAGAAGGAAGCTCTGACCTCAAGTCATAGTTCCGCCGCCAGTCTTACAAGGAGCGCAATGCCTCCGCTTCCATGCTCTCCCAATCGGCGATCTGTCACACCACAGATACTGCCGCCACTACCTCTCTGTACAGAGTCACCCCTAGGAGCGGCAATTTCACAGGAGGCCTTGGCCGCCGATGACCCGGACCTCGTGGAATTCAAGGTACAGGTGGTCGGATCACCGGGTGTTGGAAAAACTACCATCTGTCAACGTCTCACAAATTTAGACAAGGAAGATTCAGATTTCGGTGAGAAGACACTTTTATAGAAGTTTTTTGTCACGGAATATATTTTTGTTAAATTCTTTGCGTTTATTTATATGCGACCTAGTAAGTGAAGCCTTTTATTCAATGCAATTTTATTATTACATTCATTTTTCGAGAGAGAGAGAGACTGAAACTATAACGTGTGAATGTAGAAGATGATTTGGGGTTTCAGCAACCCGATGAATATTTAAACGAACAGATGATACGAAGAACTCTGCCGCTAGATACTACTACCAAGAGAGCATGTGCAGTGTGTCTCATTATCCTGCTTAATTTGATGATAATTTATTTGTACAGTATGGCGAGTGCTGCATGAAACATTCCGCAATTAAAAAAAAAGAATGGCAACCACTCGCAAACCAACATTGAGTGGAGTTGCAATTTGAGGTTCTTAAGACTGTGCGGTGCTCATTCATAATACATCGTATCCGTCAATTTGTTAATGCTGCCACTGATATAAGCAGCATGATCCATGTCTATTGCGAAATTCTATGAGAACTCTGCAACCACTTCCTCAAATCAAGAGAAAGGACGTACATTTCCTTAAACAGAATGAACACAGCATTATGTTTGTAAAACTTGACTTCAGTTCTAGCAGTCGGTAGGTTTCAAAGTCATTCGGCAATTCATAAACTTTTTTAATACGCAACCCCTTCTCTAAGAATAAAATTTAAAGCAGGCTTAATAGCCTATCAAATAAGCACAAGAGAAGTTTCTTTTGCATGCTATCCATAAAAATATATTTGAATTTAAAAAGACAGTCAAAATCAATGATAAAAATGCATACTGTTTGAGAAGAAATTTTTTACAGAATCAACTTTTTCGCAGCGGTCAGAAAAAAGCTTATCACAGAGTCGGCATCCTAGCATGAGTGAAAATAATTGAAATTGGACTGCATGATCAACAGTATTGCAACCCTACTCAATGTTGGCTTGCGATTGATTACCGGTCTTTTTCAAATTGCGATATGTTTCATGCAGAACTTGTCATACTGTAGATATTTCGAGTTTAGCCTACATTTCTAGAAGTATTACATTTGTAAGAAGAAGCGCGACGGCATTTTGAAGTTGGCAAATTCGTACAATGGGTGTTGGAGTAGTTCACTTAATAAATTTAAGGCCAAGAAAATTGTAAGAAAAAGACACAGTTAAATTAAAACCATTAATTCCGTTAAAATTGGCTGGTAAATGGGGAAAGAAAAAGATACTTCCTATGCGGTTGACTTCAGGGCAGAAATAAATTCTCAATCAATTTAAAGCAAAGTGTAAACACTAATTGGCGCGATAATGACAACACGATTATCGACTAACAAAATAATTCTTATAGGGATGTTTTTTTTGAATTTAAGTAGCATGAGCGTATTTACTTGACCTCCACAAGGGAATGGTAATGAGGATACAAATATCAAAAATGCATACAATTGGGCAGATATTTCTATTAACTGGAAGGTTTTTAACTTTAAGTCATACTGACAAGAGCTTTCTAATTATCATCGCACCTATTATACACAAGAATTACAGAATAAATTTAATAGTAAATATTGAAATCGGCGTAGGCTTCCAATGCTTAAATACAGCATTGCTTTCGTTTGCCACCCTTTCTTACAAGTGACCTTTATGCGGATGTTTCATTGAATGTCTTCTTGTCCTGCACCTATATAAATCACAACTTCTAGAGGCTAAAATATTATTTGTTACTTACAAGCTTTTACTTGCTTGCCACTGTTCAAAAATGAACTCTCTTTCCCCTGTTGCTAATCACTGATGCTATTATCTCCTTTTAATATATATAAAAACCTATGCCAACATTTAGCCCCTAAAGGTGTTTCCAGATCTTGTCTACAATTTAATGAATTACTTACTTGTTCTAAGACCTGGTGTCCAACTTAAACACGCCTTGCACTTTAGTTACCCACAGTTTGCTAGATAAAATGAACAAAAAACATCCCCAGTTTCCCACGGAAACCACAAAAAACTTATCACCTAATGGTACATTTTTTGTAACACCCATCATTAAAGTCAAATGGTGACATAAAACTCGGACAGGAGCAGGTGAAGAGTAATTTATTAATGAGAACCTAAGTGGAAAATGGAGGTCGTGGAAGACGATAAGAAGCTTATATAAAACAATCGTTTCTTATTACAATGTTATTAAACCTGCTGATTAACGTGTATGCATCCAGACAAGAGGTGGACGTTGTGCTGAGCACCTCAATGGCAAGAAATAGCAAACATGTGTGTTATTTGGAATGACTACTATTTAAATTTTTTGCTGTGTTACAGAAGTTGAGTTGGCCTCCATCCCATTTAAGGATTAATCTGATGGAAGAAAGATAGTTGCGTATTTATTTAGTTTAGTCATTTAAATACATGGAAACAACAACATCTTCGCAACTAGCGAAGTTTCGATTTGATTTATGGAACGTTAAAAATGACGAATAAGGTTTATGCAAAGTAAGCCGCTTTGCGTGATGCGATCTCTCGCAAAGCTTTTCTAAAAAAGAAAATGATTTTGTAGCGTATTTTTCAGAATTTTTGCTGTAGCATCACTGTTTTTTTATTCCAAGTATGTCGTCTGCCGCTGCTTTATGCAAACAATGACAGCGAATCATGAGGGAATGAACCACAGCTGCGACATCAGTCGCTAGATTCTGATCTCAATTATCCTTCTACAATGAAAATTATTTCAGTGGTAGAGTTTACCCTATGATGAAATCCAGAGCACAGGTAAGAAACTCATAGTTAAAAGTACTTTCCGGGCTCAGCGGAAACGTCGGTGTTTTAGCGCGCCTGTGATGAATATAGAGCATGTCGTCTCCGTCCCTTTGGTCGTGG